TTCATTCATTCATTCATTCATTCATTCATTCATTCATTCATTTATATCCCACTCATTTAGACCGAAGTCTACTCTGGGCGGCTAACAACAATATTAAAATAAAATAAAACAACAATATTAACACTCTAGAGGATGGTGAAAAAATTAGGTATTGACAGGTCTTAAGTTTGCTCTTAAAAACGCCCAGCGAGGGAGCCAGACAAATTTCTGGGGGGAGATTGTTCTAGAACCAAGGGGCCACTGCCGAGAAAGCCCGCTTTCTTGTTCTTTCTCTTCGGGCCTCCCTCAGCATTAGGCCCCTCAGCTGCCCCACCTGGCTAGAGCGAGTGATACGGGTAGATCTAGGTGGGAGAAGGTGTTCCGCCAGATATTGAGATCCTAAATCGTTTAGGGCTTTATATGTCGTCATTAATACTTTGAAATCAATGAGGAAATGAACAGGTAGCCAATGCAAGGCCACCAGAATGGGGGAGATATGTTAATGTTTTCTCACCCCAGTAAGAAGTCTGGCCGCCGCATTCTCCACCATTTGAAGCTTCCGCATCAATCTCAAAGGTAGCCCCACGTAGAACGCATTACAGTAGTCTAATCTTGAGACTACAAGTGTATGGACCAGAGTGGTGAAGGCCCTGACATCAAGATAGGAATGCAGCTGGGCGATCCACCAAAGAAGGATGTAGGTGGTGTGGACCACTGACGCTACCTGGGTTTCCATGGTAAGCACTGGATCAAGAAGCACCTCCAAGCTGCGAACCTCAGTCTTCATGGTGGAAATAACCACCACCACCCCAAAAAAGTGAGGGAGTTTCCCAAACCACCAATGTCTGGGCCACCCACCCTCAGGACCTCCATCTTGTCTGGGTTTAGCTTGGTCTACACAGGGCTTGGGAAATGAGTTTACATGAAACTGTATCAAAAGGGTGTTTCTCTTCTTCTCTCTTCACATGGAGGTGCCAATGAACTCCAAACACACACACACACTCACACATACACAGAGTATTGAATTTAGAAAATTCTAAATTGCTGATTTAGTTGCTAGCTACACATTTGGCATACTGTTTGGTTTGGCTCTCATATTCTCATATTCTCTTATATTTACTTTCATGGATCAGAGAGACCAGAGAGTGGCAGAAGAACAAAAAGAACATAAATTCACAAATCCAGATAGAACAGAATTTTCTGTCAACAGAAAAGTGAGGATTAGCTTGCTGCCTTCTAGCCTTTCATAGCTGGAGAAGAGTAAGCAAGTTTATTAAATAAGTGAAGCTCTGACTAATCTTTAATGACAATGCATACATTTCTCCAAAACCTGGAGCTTGTGTAGAAACTGGTTGAAAGAACAGAGGATCAGTGGTAGGTGTGCAGGAGATGATGATGAGGAATTGAAGGTGATGCTTAAAGGACTTTTTTCATTGATTAGCAGAGCTTGCTGAGCTGTAACACTGCAATACTGTGTCTGCTGAGCATTCATTAGAATATCAATCATTTCTCTTAAATCGTTTGAGTTTCACAGCCTTTGAGATTTCTTAACTGAGGTCTACCCTTTTCTAGTTTCAGTATTTATGTGGCTTCTGCAAGCGCCTGACTGCAATGCACTGTAAAGCATATCGGCCTCTCCTTCCCAAGTGGATATGCCAGCTGAAGGGAATTCGGAAGAGGCAGACATCTCTTATGTTCACGGAAATGACCTTATGCTGGCCGAAGACTTTTCCATTGGCACAAAAGACAAACGAGACCTGGACAAGGAGTGGGATGAAGTAAGAGCCAAGTGACAGCAGTTCCAAGCCTTCTCCACACTATTTACACAGCCACTGTGCTGGCTCACAATTAGGCCAAAGTAGTCAGTAAGATACAATATTAGCCACAGAAGTGTTTTGAATCCAATGTTGTTTTAGCTGGCCTAGCATCAGCTCAGCTGGCTTTCATACCTCTTGGCTACCTGGGTTTGTGATCTTTGATGTGATCTAAATCAGGGGTTCCCAAACTGTGTGCTGTGGCTCCATCGGGCACCCAAGATCTGAGCCAGGGGAGCCATGGGAAATGGGATGGAACCTAGAGCTATGAAGGCTGTGAGCTATTCTTCACTCCACGTCAAACAGGAACCAGAACTGGAGGCCATGTGCCTGCTTCTCCTTCCTTCATCTCTGTAGTCCCCAGTGGATGCACTTGCTGAGTAAATTCGTGAGTTTCCTGCATCAGGACATGGAAGGAGGTGTGCGCTTGGGGATATTTGGGATGGGAGGAGGAGAAGATGAGATGGCTGGGGAAGGGTGTCAGGATTCTGTCCCTGGTGGTGGTGAAACCATGATGGCTCCTCCAAGCAAGGGGGGCCACAGCCAGTAGTCAGTAAATCAAGGGAGCTGTGGGTCCAAAATGTTTGGGAACCACTGATCTAAATAATGTGAGATCTCTAGATATGAATGCTACAGTGGAACCAAAGCTTGACGGGATGATGTCCTGGGACTTTTTAATTAGCAGGGACAATGACATAATTTGCCAGCACCCTCAGGCTTTAAGATCCAACTAGACTAAAATACACTGCATTACAATCATCATAGTTTCACTTAGAAATTAACTTTCTCTGTTGTTACCTTAGCTACTAAAAGGACTGCAGGCAGAAAAGGGAAGCCTAGGGTGACCATGGCAGATGACAGCATTGTGACTCTGATTTCATGGGGACACTCCTAATCCTAAAGCCTCTCCTGAATAGGTTCAGCACCTTGGCTAGCTTCTGAAAAGTCCAGACTAAAATTTGAGGTGGGTTCATTGCCTCCATGAAATCAGAGTCTTGACTTCTGCAAGCCCTGCTTCCACTACAGCACTGGTTCTCAAAACAGGTTCCAGTAGCCAGGTAATTATTCACTGATTCAAATTCACGTCATTGTCTTCTGTTAGCCTTGCATCACAAACCACAGAGGACATGGCAGGTAGCAGTTGTAGGCTGGAAAGAAGAAATCCTTCTCATAGAGCTTTACTGTATTTCTAAAGCCCATATTCTGTTGATTGGTGTATTTAAAACACAGTATCAAGAAATATACCTGTTTCCCCCAAAAATAAGACCTAATCTGAAAATAAGCCCTAGTATGATTTTTCAGAATGCTCGTAATATAAACCCTACCCCCAAAACAAGCCCCAGTTAAGTGAAACCCCGCCCTCCACCATTGTGCAGCAACCAGAAGATGACACGACTGTATTTACATAAATGCAGATTGTTGTACATGAAAAAAATAAAACATCCCCTGAAAATAAGCCCTAATATATATTTTTGGAGCAATAATACTATGACCCTGTCTTATTTTCAGGGAAACACGGTAGCACTTTGAGTTTGTTGCCAATAATTCTCTTAATTCTCTTAATAGTTATCCCAAATCTCAGTTTTTTCTGCTTAACTCTGAAATTCTTTTTTCTTTTGAGCTGAGTAGGCTTTGTTCCTGCCATGGGGCTCATAATTCCCTGACAAGTAATTGCATAATTGCTACAAACACAAGCTAAGTGCATCTACATAATCAGAGCAGACAAGCGCTAAGTGCCAGGTTTCTATCCTCTTGGTGATTGCAATCCAAGTTTTTTCAACTGCTTTCTTTCTTGACAGCTATCCTGAGCTGAAAAGCATGCTGGGATCAACAGGAGGTTATGACTGACTTTACCTGCACACTGTCAGACAATCATGGCAGTGTTTCTCAACTATAGTGTTCTAAACATATTGAGTCTTCTACGTCTCTATTTCTGTACAGTCTATAAAATGAATTGAATGGGCACGTGTGGCAGCCAGTCACCCCATTCTGTGTTCCAATAAAGGACATACAGATTAGCAATATACTTTATTACGATCAACAGATCAGATGTGAATAACACAGAACAACCGGACAAGAATAAACAGAATCAATACAACTATAATATACATTAAGTGCGGCAGACTCTTAGGGAAACAAATTCCATAAATAATTGTTAGGAGCATACCCCTATCCCCAGTTCATACATATTAATATATGCATACATACATTTATATATCTACAGGATTAAGGCACTATTTCTTGCCTGCAGACATACAGATTGAGACCAGCTCACTTTAGGAGATATTCTAACTTGCCCTGGCCCAGAGTTAGTATCTCTATGGTTCTGGATCTCCATTAAAGAACACAAAATCCCCACAATGTTGCAGTGGAGGGAGCAAACAGCTATGACCTGTGTGGAAGCGACAATGAACCCGAATTTTATGATCTTTCTATTCAAAGGCCATGCAACAATCACCCTTCCACAGTCATACACACAATGACTCTTACTAGTCTAATAATATTTCAGTAAAATTTGGTAAGCACAGCTGAGTGAGAGTACAAATAAGACTATTCCAGAATGCAAAAAGGCTGTCTCGAAAGTGATACAACTCCCTCTCTCTCCACGCAACGGCTGAGTGAAAAACCTGGTGAAGTATCTATAGGAGTGGTTGTTGTGGGTTTTTCGGGCTCCTGGGCCGTGTTCTGAAGGTTGTTCTTCCTAACGTTTCACCAGTCTCTGTGGCCGGCATCTTCAGAGGACAGGAGTAGCACTTACTAAAGGATGAAACATTCCTTGAGAAGCACGCTGCTTTTTTTCCTGCCTATTGGAATTCTTTTTGTGGAAAAAATTGCATGTAAATCAATTCAATTGTGTAATTTTTAGATTTACTGCAAACCAAGTTTGGGGATATTGTTGGGCTTCTAAGGCCATCTTTTGAGATGTAGGCCAATCACAAGAACAAAACTGTATCCAGTGCAGGAGGAACGGATTTTTTTGTTCAGGCGAATTCCAAATGCCTATGAAAGCTACCTTTCTGTAATCAAGATTATCCCATAGTTTATCTCATTGTATCAGTTACTGACCTTGTTGCTTTGGCTCAGGCTGGTTAGTATTTTCTGTGTCTTCTTTCAGGGGCTGGGCATTACCTGTGCCCTTATTTTCTTCCGTTTTCTTCTTACTTTCTTCCTTCAGGAGAAAAGGAAAAAACATATGTTCAGCTCTGATATAGCTAAATCATGTGTCATCAAGGCCAGATCAGATGTTTCCAGGAAAAGATGCAGCTGGCACACTTTTAATTGTGCAAACACACTCCTGGCCACTGCTAAAACATGGGGTATCCAGGCTCAGAGATAAATCCAGGAGCATCCCCCAAGCTGTGCACCTGCATTCTCAGAAGAAGTGCAAACCCATTCAGCACAGGTCGCATCCTTGTTCATTGATCTGCCCTTTGACTGACCAAGAACACCCTTGTCTTGTCTATATTAAGTTCCTCATCCAGGTCATTACTGACACTAGATATCAATCTAGAGCTGAAACAGTTTCCTCAAATTTAGATGGCAATGATATATAGACTTGGATGTCATCTGTGTACTTGTGTCACTGAACCCCAAAACTCCAGACAATACCTCCCAGTGGTTTCATGTCGATGTTAATGTAGGAGACAAAACAGAACCCGGAGGAACCCTGCAGGCCAGAAGGAGAGAACTCACCTTCTGCTTTATCTCCTCCAGGAAGGACTTGAGCCACTGTAAAACAAGTCCCATCTCAGAGATATGGAGCAGGCGTATACCTTGGTTGATTGTATCAGAAGCAGTAGAACCAATAAGGACATACTCCCTTTGTCCATTTTCTGGTGTAGGTCATCCACCAAGATAACTAGAACAGTCTCCGTCCCATAACGAGACCTGAAGACAGACTAAAATGGATCTAGATAACCTGTCCCATCCAGGAACCCCTGGAACTGAGAAGCCACAACTTGTTCCAACAACTTCCCCAATAATGGGATATTAGAGATTGGTCGGTAATTATCTATAAAGTGGAATCTAAGGAAGGCTCTTTCAACAATGGTCTTATTACTTATTACTGCTGGGATCCTACCGTGTAGCAAGGAGGCATTCACCACTCCTCCCCTTCTTCACTCAGGTAAAGGTAAAGGTTCCCTTTGACAATTTTTGACCAGTCGTGTTCGCCTCTAGGGGGTGGTGTTCACCCCCATTTCCAAGCCATAGAGCCAGCGTTTTGTCCGAAGACAATCTTCCGTGGTCACATGGCCAGTGCGACTTAGACACGGAACACTGTTACCTTCCCACCGAGGTGGTCCCTATTTATCTACTTGCATTTGCATGCTTTCGAACCGCTAGGTTGGCAGGAGCTGGGACAAGCGACGGGCGCTCACTCCATCGCATGGATTCGATCTTACGACTGCTTGGTCTTCTGACCCTGCAGCACAGGCTTCTGCGGTTTAGCCTGCAGCGCCACCACGTCCCTTTCTTCACTCAACCATTCCCTTTTATAAGCCAGGAAGGGAAAGGGTCCAGCAGACATTTGGTAGCCTTCACCTATCCAAGATTTTTGCCTGCAACATCAGAAACTGAAGCTCGTCGATCAAAGCAAAGACTAGAAACATTAGAGGGATTCATCATATTTTTCTTTTTAATGATCAGCATGTCCTTCAGTGAATGATGTGTGTCCATGCCTGGCTATCTTCCCGATGTGAGACTTATGTGCAAGACATGGAAGCAAAACCATGTAAAAATACAACAGCTCAACGATACTAAGAAAAGAAATCTTCCTAACACTTTAGTCACTAGAGAGCAACAGGAGAGGGATGATGAAGAAAAGTAAGGAAGAACAAAAACAAGTTCTGCTCAGTTTGGACATATGACAACTGCAGTGTGAAAGACTGTAGTGTAAACATTTTGAGGTGGAAGGAAAATGAAGGGAAAACTAAAACTAGGACACACCAAGGCATATGAATAAAATCATGTTTAAAACAGCTACCTGAACCTCCCCACATTAACTAGGTCTAGCTTACCCTGAGGTCTTGATTATACAGTACTTCCTATTTCAGGAGCAAAACAGATATACAGCTATTTATTCCATTCCAATCCTGTGGGCCTTAGGTTTAGCTAATCAGCTTCAGGGCATCCTTCAGGACTTCGGTGAGTTCTTCCTTTTGCATCGCAGATGGCAAGATGAAGCTCATGTGAGACTGGTGGTGGGAAGCTGTCACTGTGTCTCGTTTCAGCTCTAATCCTTTGAGTTTCTAATACCTTTTCACAATGATTTTTGAGATGCAGAGTTTTGAATCTAATTTATGTTGTAAAAAATGCTGCTACTAAAAGTTATAAGCAATGCTGCCCTTCAACCCTTTGCCTGTAACCCTGTTTTCAAGAGGGGCATACAGTTATAATGACCTGCTTGGGGGCTAAAACCTATGGCAAGATTTCCCAACACTGGGTTTCAACTGTTGAGATGGGGAGGATCTTTTCCTGATTTAAACATGGAAGCAACTCTGGGGAAGGGAGATGTTGACCATCCCTCTGGTGACCTTCTTGCAAGCTATGCTCCTGCCCCCCCGCCACATCTACTATTAGATCTTCAGGAACTTGGGGCGAGGGTAAGATTTTGATCATGAATTCATGATGGAAACCAGACAGGCCCTACCATTTGACAGAGGGGAGCAAATAATTCAGATGGCAGAGTTGGATGGATATCAGTAGCACCTCGAAGCCATTCACCTTTCAGACCCATGCCATGCTTCAATACAAGGAAAACCCAGTTTGCTTCTTCATGGGAAATGAGCAGGGGCATTTCCTTTTCTTTACTGCAGGCTGCAATGCATTTTGGGCTGTTCTTGGGGATGGTTTAACAATTCCTTCTCTAGCATTCCTGCAAGGATGGAAATCGTTGCCCTCTGCTTCTTCTTTAAACTGAGCAAAACAGTATGTCAGGAGATTTAATTGCAAACTTCCCATGTCTCATCTGTTTCAGTCCCCAATTTAACATGGGTTGTGATGAGAGAAAACAAGTTCCCTTTATATGTCTTTGGCCATGGTTTGTAAGAGGAAACAAATTCCCCTCTCACTCAAAAGCTTTTGCATACATTTACATCATAATCATAAAACATACTTATTTAGAAGTAAACTTCAATGTTTTCAGTGGAAATTACTCCTCTCATAAAGTGTTCATGGGATCAGAGCTTTAATTAAAGCACTTTAACTAACAGAAGCAGTGTTTCCTTTGCTCACAAAGAAGCAATTAAGATGAGTGGCTAAGACTTAACTGCAAGTAATTAATTTTTTTTAACTTGAAAAACAAGTTTGTTAAAAAAATCTTCATGACACAGTTAATCAAACTCCTTTTTGGTATGTAAAGTTGTAAATTTATAGAGATTTATGGCAAAGCGAGTACTGTTGATGCAAAATATAATGTAAAGAACCCAAAATGTCACATTTTTCCTGTTTACAGCTGTTTTTAAGTCTGTCAGTTAACAGTGCCAAACTGAATCATCCTTTGCATTAAGCTGTTAGGTTATGTGCCTACAAACTGGAACCAATTTATAGTTGATTGAAACCCTAATAGGCCTTTCAAGGTAAGCTTGATATATAAGGAGTGTTTGTTTTTCTAGTTTCACATCCCCAGTTAATTTCCATAGCTGACCCAGGCCTCCTGAGCCCTAGTCTATTATTCTGTTCACTACACCATTTTAGGCATCCCTAATCAAATTGTCATTATGGATAATCTGAAATAAATCTTTCATAGAAATGGTTTAAAGTTTAAAAATATTGATCTTTGCAATACTGCTTTCAAGATTAGATCCTAAGAAACCCTAGGACATTTGGGGGTGGGGTGGGGACTGAAATGTTATCACGCCAGGGTGGCATTACTTGCTGGATAGTTTGAGTGAGTGAGGCATCTGGCTGCAAAGCTAGAAGTTGGGAATATGATTCCCCATTGAACCTCCCAAGAGAAGAGCCAGCTTATGTAGCCTTGGGCAAGCTGCACACACAATCCAAGAATACACCCCCAGAAGAAGGGGCTAGAAAACCACTTCTGAGTACTTGTAATCCTGTAATGAGTTGCCATAGGTCAGAATTAACCTGACATTATGTTGTTGTTGCTGGTGGTGGCGGTGGTGGTGGCGGTAGTAGTAGTAGTAGTAGTAGTAGTAGTAGTAATAGTAGTAGTAGTAGTAGTATGGCACTGCCAGCAGTAACTACTACATACTTTGTTTCCATGTGCCTGCAAGAACAAATAGATTCAGCATTCCACCTGCATCACGTCTGTTAAGTAGCAGTCTGGGTTGTGACTGCCAACATTATTCAGAAGGATGGTGTGTTTGTAATCTAGGATCTAGAAGTGTTGCAGCCACTTGGGAACCAGACATATCTTATTTTCTACAGCAGCTACATTGCTGTAGTAACATTTCAACACCTTCTGTTAATTGCATAGAAGGGAGTGTTTTTTAAAAAAAGAAAGTGATCCTTTCTGATACAGTTGTACTCTTTCTGGCAAAACTTCAGTATTAAAAAGAAGTCACACCTGGGTGAATTTTCACTTTTATGAACCTTTTCAGAACATAGAAATCAGAATTTGGAATTGATTGAAGCAGAGGCACATGCCATTTTTAGAGAGAAAAATGGAACGTGGTAATAGACTTCTCCGTCCCAGTTAAAACACCATAAGGAATCAACTGAATTGAACTCAGTCTTACAGTTAAAGGGGACATATCTGTAGAAGACCTCACTGTATAGGAATGGGCAGCTGAACATTCCTGTCTGTGAGACTCTTCTAGCTGGAGGAGAGCTTCATTTTAGTTCATCTTTCAACAAGAATTCTCCAAAGAGTGCTATTTACCCCATATTCATAATGGAAAGAACTGGAATATGAAAAAAAAATCTGAGTGGAAGAAAAATGGAAATTAATAGCTTCATCCATGTCAACCAAAAGCTTTTAGTTAACTCTTTAAAATCTGGGTGTGAATCCCTGGATATTCAACCACACTAGTGCTGAATGAGAGTTTTGTGATAATTACCACGATATTTAAGGTTTAATATCAATGTTTAATTTTCATGAAAGGTTATCCTCAGGAAAAAAAAAGACATATATGGAAAGGGTACAAAAAGTGATACTCCTCTGAATTTAGCTAGTATAGAAAAATGAACATTTCATTTCAATCCCTTTTTCAATTTAACAAAATTTCCAAGTCACATTTTTAAGAACAGAAAGTACTAGAGGTTTAAAAACTTCAAAGCCAAGAGAAAATGAAACTGGCAGATATTGCAGCTCCTTGTGGGGGGTAACTGGAAGGTTATTGGGACATCTCTGCTCCCCCATCCAGGGCTAATCCATGCAGCCGTTTAGTGTCCTCTCATCTGTAGGGATTTGTCTTGAGCCAGGTTTCATCTTCCCACTGTCATGTTCTTGTCTTTTAAGTAAACATGTATATGACTGGAATTGCATGTGACGTGCTACCATTAAAAAAATCCATTTGAGGACTCTGAAATATCTCAGAAAAATCTAATTTGCCAACTTTGTAAAGTGAAAGAAAGAGGAAAGCAGTATACACAACCATACACATTTTTGTATGTGTGGGTGTAAATGCATATACAGTATATGTATATATGTTTATGTTTGTGTATATGTTTGTGTGTATATAGAGATAGCTAGATAGAGATAAAATCTAACATTTAATTATCATTTTTTCCTTTAAAAAATCTTTACCGAATGAACACGGAAAGAACAACAACAAAACAATAGTACAGGCCTTTCAATAAAAGAAGCAAAATGGTCTGGAAGCCAGTTATTTGCAGCTTTAAGGAACTTCATTCATTTTCAGAAGCAAAACAATAAAGGTACACTAAGTAAAATGGGTTCAAGAAACCTACCTGCCCTGGTGGTGGCTGAGGTGGAGATGAAGGTTTTGGAGAGGTTGGAGCATCATTCACTTTTCCCTCTGATGAACTTGGCACTATTTTGGTGATTTTTGCTTTCAGTTTATTAAACATTTTTACCTACGAAGTCATTCCAGAATCTTGCATGTGTCTAAGCTAAAAGCTGAAGGCATTTGACTTCCTCTGCTCTTATGATACAAGCCAATTAGATGTTTAATCAGGGCTTAGTTCTGGTTAGTACTTAGTAACCTCATTTAAAGACAGGCTGATGTCTTTCCTTGCCATGATTTTTTTTTCCTTTGTAGTATGAGGTTTTTTTTGTAGTTTTATGCTTTAAAATGTGCTTTGAGATATCAGAGTTCAACAAATAGAATGTCTAATTATTTCACAACTCTGCCAGCTGGTATATCACAACTTTAGCTGATCATAATTTTCCAATTTGCTGTCTTAATCAGAATCTTAAGTCAGAAATGCCTTAAGAGTCTAACTGAGAAATGGAAAAAGGCCAGTTGTTCAATAACATGACCCTGCAGTACTAGGTTATGTAAATTCTTCTTTCGGCCTTTGTATGGCTTAGATATATTAATCCCAGTGTAATGAGGATAGAGGTTGGGTGGATTTTGCACACACTCTATGTACAAAAATATAATATTGTCATACAGTGGTTCTCAACCTTAGGTAATCTAGGTTTTCTTGGACTACAGTTCCAAGAAGCCTTCACTACCAGCTGTACGGGCCAGGATTTCTGGGAGTTACAGTCGAAGAACACCTGGTTATCCAAGGTTGGGGAGCACTATTGTAGTTGAAACATATCATGCTGATAGAACCATTACAAAAAAGAATATTTTCCAACTTCTTCTGTTCCTTCTTGTGATCTTGTCTCATCAATCCCAGAACAAGGTGGGGGTGGGAGGTTGGGGGAAGGATCTCTTTATCAATTTATAGTTGCAGTATTACATGTTAAAGAGGACGCTAGACTATTTTGCGATGAACATTAACATTCTACTACTGATAACATATTGACTGCTTCTATTTGTCTTGGCAGGCCAGTTTGAATGATACTTTAAGCAATCCAACCTGTCCCATTTCTGCCTCTGCTCTCCTCATTCATCATCATAGAGATAACCATCTGAAATGACCTATGTCTAAAGTCCTATGTTGTAGAAGCAACCCCAATTCCATGTATGATTTTCAAATTTTATCTTGAAATTTCATGTATAGTTTCTGTCACTTTATCTTGGAATCTTATGCCTATAGGATTTTGCTCACATAGGCTATATATATATGGATGCATCTGGGAAGAGTGCAGATTCTGCATGGTAGACTGGATCTGCTTTTGAAATCAGTAATAGCTGTTTTGTGTTTCAGTAAGCTTGAGAATAATTATCATTGACAACTTTCTGAGAAGGAAATAGAAATCTCCAGCAGAATTCTCAGCGCCTTCCAACCTACAATTCTCAAGACTTTTGCAGATATGCAACTGGTAGAAACTTAGGTTGAATCCACATTTTGGTTCATTCTATATGACTGGATCATGCACATTACGTTTTGCTTCCTATGGCAGCCATTCCAACTCCATCTGAAATGTGACAGGGTTGGGGCGGAGTGTAGCGTAGGGAGAAGGTATCCCTGAAAACTGAGCAGAACTGACCCTTATTAAGTTAAGTCTTTCTATCTACTGAAGGAATGAGTTTGAATACCTAGCTTGTGCAAGTCTTGAACACAGAATAGTGAGGATCCAGAGATTTCCATTCAGAGCAGCCCATGTTCTCATAGGTTGCCTCCAGATCAGCAAGCAGTTCCACCCACATGTTCCTTTCCATGCACATGTACTGATTCCTTCCATTTCAATAAATGAAAAAGTCATTGTTCACTGGCAACAACAACAACAAAACAGCTTTTATAAAGCAACTTCAGCCCCTAATCTTTCTGGTGGCTCATTTGTGCATTAAAATAAAAATAAAAATCAATTATCTCAATTTTGGGATGGGGCGACTAGAATTGTCTACAGTTTTCTGAACATAACTGTGCTATAAATCTATATGGCTTCGTATACATTATAAAAGGATTATACTGGCAAATTTCTATCATTTTTCCAAAAAAATCATAACAGAGGCATTGCTTGTTATCATTCTCATTCTTCCTTGCGGCCATACAGTACTCATTAAGGGATTTTAAACCATCCATCACAACCCCGAGATGTCTCCCTTAATGACTTTGGATCCAATCAGTCATATGTATCTCATGACCAGGTGGATGTGCAACCCCCAAACTTGGGCTGAGCCTCCACCCCAATGCATGAGTTCCCCCCTCACAATCAATATATATGATGATTACTTGGGGTGTTGCTGTTATTTTCCTGGCATGCCTCGCATTATGCAGTATATTTTCTTTTTGTGATTTACTATTTTATTCTCATTTACTTAGCTTGGACAGAACTAGGGTAAGAATATAAGCTCCACCATCCACTGAGCATTTACCTCACGAAATAATTCACTATCACTGGCAAAATTTGAATTTTTCACTAATTCCAAGATAACTCACAAACGTTCAATAGCACTTGTCAGGTAAGATGCTGATACTTGCTCCATTATGGAAACAACTTTTAAAAAACAAACTGTAACTCCTTGTATCTTATTTTGAAGCCATTGCTGATCCAAGAGAAAGTCAGTTCACTTATTCCAAGGTTTCTCACATTGCTCAGAAGTCTTCCTTGCAAACTTGTAAGCTTGCTCGAGAGTATTCCTTGTCAATTGGTTCTAAGAAGTTCAAATGTAGAGTATTAATCAGCACACGCTTATCTATATACTGTTGACACTCCTCCAAACTGATGAAGAACTTCTCTTTGTAGGTTCTAATTTTCCCTTACAGGACATATCTTCCAAATGTTAAACAACAATTTTAGCATTTGTACTATTTTCCATCAATCCATCTTTATATGATTATAATACTTTGTGGAGTTTCTAATGTTTGTGTCAAAAGCATAGGAAAAGAAAAGAACAGACATTAACAAGAAATGCTTTTGGGAACTTGTTAATAACAACTGACATCCAAGGCTAGTGAATGTTATATTGGTTCAGGCTGTGATTAACGAAATAAATGTTTTGGAAATCCATCTAAGTTACCATTTCACAAACAGTAATCAAGTCATGTTGAACCTGATCGACTCATACAAATGGAAGTATTTGTCCCATCAACTCCTCTTTCATTCTTTCCAGTCCTTGTATCTGTAGAGGTGATTAATCTGCCTCACTATTTGGTTGTCTTTTACATACAATAACTATTCAGTTATACTGCCCATTGAGCAAACAGACTAAAACAATTCAGTTAATGGAACATCATGACCTGCTGTTAAATAAGAAGATTAATGTTCCAAGAGGCATGGTGGATAGTCGGTATCCAATTAGGTTCTTTGCAATTCTGGCTCTGACCAATATTTGATGTTGTTGTTTAGTCGTTAAGTTGTGTCTGACTTTTCATGACTCCATGGACCAGAGCACGCCAGGTCCTCCTGTCTTCCACTGCCTCCTGGAGTTGGGTCAAATTCATGTTGGTAGCTTCATTGACACTGTTCAACCATCTCGTCCTCTGTCGTCCCCTTCTCCTCTTGCCTTCACTCTTTCCCAACATCAGGGTCTTTTCCAGGGAGTCTTCTCTTCTCATCAGATGGCCAAAGTAATGGAGCCTCAGCTTCAGGATCTGTCCTTCCAGTGAGCACTCAGGGTTAATTTCATTCAGAATGGATAGATTTGATCTCCTTGCAGTCCCAGAGACTTTCAAGAGTCTCTCCAGCACCACAATTCAAAAGCATCAATTCTTTGGTGGTCAGCCTTCTTTATGGTCCAGCTCTCACTTCCATATATCGCTACTGGAAAAATCATAGCTTGGACTATGCAGACCTTTGTTGGTAAGGTGATGTCTCTGCTTTTAAAGATGCTATCTGGGTTTGTCATCGCTTTCCTCCCAAGCAGCAGACTTTTTTAACTTCGTGGCTGCTGTCACCATTTGCAGTGATCGTAGAGCCCAAGGAAGTAAAATCTGTCACTACCTCCATATCTTCCCCTTCTATTTGCCAGGAGGTCATGGGGCCAGTGGCCATGAACTTTTTAAATGCTGAGCTTCAGACCATTTTTTGCACTCTCCTCTTTCACCCGCATTAAGAGGTTTTTTAATTCTCCTCACTTTTTGCCATCAGAGTGGTATAATCTGCATATCTGAGGTTGTTGATATTTCTTTCGGCAATCTTAATTCCAGTTTGGGATTCATCCCGTCCTCCCTGTTGCATGATATATTCTGCATATAAGTTGAATAAGCAGGGAGACAATATACAGCCTTGTTGAACTCCTTTCCCACTTTTGAACCAATCAGTTGTTCCATATCCAGTTCTAACTGTTGCTTCCTGTCCCACGTATAGATTTCTCAGGCGATAGATAAGGTGGTGAGGCACTCCCATTTCTTTAAGAACTTGCCATAGTTTGCTGTGGTCCACACAGTCAAAGGCCTTTGCATAGTCAATGAAGCAGAAGTAGATTTTTTCTGGAACTCTCTGGCTTTCTCTATAATCCAGTGCATGTTAGCAATTTGGTCTCTAGTTCCTCTGCCTCTTCGGAATCCAGTTTGTACTTCTGGGAGATCTTGGTCCACATACTGCTGAAGCCTACCTTGTAAGATTTTGAGCATAACCTTGCTAGCATGTGAAGCTGAAACTTTAACACTGTAACACTGATTTCTTAGTATCATTTAATTTATTCTTTATGGGCTTGTGTTGCAGTTTAAGTTGATTTCTTCAATTCCCACCTCCTGACTTTGTTTCTTATACAGTATTGTAAAACTATTTGTAGCATCTGAATTCTAAGAGTTTTAGAATTTGTGAACTAGTCTCCTGTACATGTAATGTACAGAAAGCTGTAGCTCACATGTTAATCTTTGAAGAAATAGAAAAGATACATTTGGAAAATAGAAAATATACATTTGAAAACACACCCATAGCATCTTCTTATGTCATATATGTGACCATCATAAGGAGAGTCCTTTCTCTAAGTACCACTGAATCACAGGTGCATTTGATGGGGACATGGGAGAGGGCCTTCTCTGTTGCTCCCCTTCGACTTTGG